AATAAATAACAACTGAAATAACCAACTGACCACCAGCTAACCCTAGGATGACTAGAACACCTACCCTACGAACACAATGGGACCATAGCCGTGGGGCCCACATTAGTGTTCTCTACAAAAGTCAAACATATAAAACATTTTTAAGCATGTAAAGCCCACAATCTCTTTTCCTCCTTAATTGTAATAGTTCAAGTAGCTAACGTGATGTAAAACATATTACATTCCTGATTCTAGGAGTCGCCTTTGTACCACACCCTTCGAGGCAAGCCCAAACAGAGTTCATGCACTTGTACTCCACTAGAGTTCATGCACTTGTACTCCACCAACTGCAAGTATTTCTTGAAGAAAAGAAAGTCATCCACCAGAGTTCATGCACTTGTACTCTATAACAGAATGAGGTTGTTGAGGGAAAGAATAGACAAGTTGAAGTTGCTAGAGGGTTGTTGTTCCAAACTCATGTTTCCACTCGGTTTTGGGGAGATGCTATTGAGACGGTTGTGTACCTCATTAATCGACTTCCATCAAGGAGTCTCAAACTTCAATCTCTTTATCAACTTCTTTTTCCTGATGAGCCACCTTTTAGTCTCCCCCTTTCATCAAGGAGCTTCAAACTTCAATCTCCTCATCAACTCTTTTTTCCTGATGAGCCACCTTTTAGTCTCCCTCTTAGGGTCTTTGGTTGCCTCTGCTTTGTTCATGATATGAGTCCCTCTAGACACAAATTTAATCCTAAGTCTATCAGATGTGTTTTCCTTGGTTATTCTCCTGTTCAAAAAGGGTATCGCTGCTTTGATTCTGAATCTAGAAGGAGATATGTTTCTAAGGATGTCACATTCATTGAGTCCTCCACCTTTTTCTAGCCATCTCGTCCTTCTCTTTAGGGGGAAAATGTCAGTGAAGATCAGACTCCCTTTTGTCTTCTTGTTTTGGACTCATCTCCTACTTCCAATCTATCTTCTATTACTATTACTTCACCTCCTCCTCCCCCTCCTGTGTATCATCCTCAGTCTTGGCAACAGTTTTTTATTAGGCAATAGAAAAAGGTGGCTCCTAATGCTGAATGTCCATCACAATCTAAACACCTTGGACTCAAGTAACCTTGATCCTACTCCTCTTGAACCTACTGATGCTCCTATCATTGAACCTGACCTTGATCTTCCCATTGCCATCCGCAAGGGAAAGAGAAAGTGCACCAACTATCCCATCACCAATCATGTTTCCTATGATTCTCTCTCACCCTCTTATTGTGCCTATATCTTAGTTATCAGTTCTGTTTCAATTCCTCATAGTGTTACAGAGGTAGTGCAATCACCTCATTGGAAAGAAACTATGAACCTAGAGATGGATGCCCTCATAAAGAACCAAACTTGGGAGCTTGTTTCTATTCCCAAGGATAAATTTATAGTTGGATGTAAGTGAGTGTACACAGTCAAACACAAGGCTGATGGCTCTGTTGAAAGATAAAAAGATACCACTAGTAGCCAAAGGATATATTCAGATTAATGGCATTGATTATCAGGAAATGTTTGCTCCAGTGGATAAAATGAGTTCTATCCGTGTGATTTTGTTTCTTGTGGCACACTTCTCTTGGCGTTTATATCAAATGGATGTGAAAAATGCCTTTCTTAGTGGAGACCTACAGGAGGAACTTTATATGGACTTGCCACTAGGAGTGGGCCTTCCTAATAGTGAGGGAAAGGCTTGTCGCTTAAAGAAGCCCCTATATGGACTCAAACAATCTCCTAGAGCTTGATTTGATAGATTCAGAAGAGCAATCTTGACAATTGAGTTCTCTCAATCTTAGGTTGATCATACTTTGTTCATAAGAAGGCATGATGATCAAGTGACCATGCTAACAATTTATGTAGATGATATTGTTTCGACTGGAGATGATGACTTCTCTGGAATCTCTCAATTGAAATCCTTTCTTGTCTTTGAGTTTGAAATCAAGGACCTTGGTGATCTTAAATACCTTTTGGGAATTGAGGTAGCAAGATCAAAGAAGAGTATTTTCATTTCTCAAAGAAAATATGTTCTTGACTTGCTCCAAGATGTTGGGAAATTGGGGTGTAAACCAGTTGGAACCCMCAATTGATCCTAACTACAAATTGAATGCCACAAATGGAGATGTTCTTCTAGATAGAGAAGTCTAACAAAGATTGGTTGGTCGTCTTCTTTATATATATGTTTGACAAGACTAGATATATCCTATGCAGTTAATGAACCTCTCACATGTAAGTTGTCAATAGGATTCTCGCTTACTTGAAGGGGTGCTTGGCAAAGGAATGTTATACTCCAATCATGGGCATTTGAAGATTGAGGCCTATACAAATGTAGATTGGGCAGGGTCAATGGACGACAAAAGATCTACTTCTGGCTACTATACCTTAGTTGCGGGCAATGTGATATCGTGGAGGAGAAAGAAGCAATCCGTTGTTGCTCTCTCTAGTGCAGAGGCAGAATACAAGGCAATGGCTCATGGGGTTTCAGAGTTGCTATGGTTGAAGATCTTGTTAACGGAAATGGGAATTCCAACAGAAAATCCTATGAAACTTTACCATGAGAAATGGGTAGCTATTAACATTGCTCATAATCCTATTCAGCATGATTATACAAAACATATTGAAGTGGATAGGCATTTCACCCGAGAGAAAATTGATAGTGGAGAAATTTTCCTACCCTTTGTAAGATGTAAGGATCAAATTGCTAACTGCTTTACTAAAGGAGTTCACAACCCAAAGTTCGTTAATAACCTAGGCAAGCTGGGCATGATAGATATCTATGCTTAGCTTAAGGGGGAGTGTTGAGAATATGCAATATGGTGAAAGGGTCTTTTTTGAGTTTTTCATTTCTCCTTTGTATTTGGGCGCTCAAGTAAGGGAAAACTTGTACTTTCAACAAAATTATAAAGTTTTTGTCTCTGGTGTGACTCGAGACAAACCTTTGTAACCTTCTTCTTCTCTTATCCTCCTTTCTCTTCCTTTGTTTTTGGACTTCACCTTAAACAACTCCTTCCTTTCATGTGAAAGAAGTTTGGTGTGTTTCTATCCCCCCAAAAGTTGATGTTTTTTGTTGGGAAGTTTATCGTGGATGCATCAATACTTGTGACATGTTGCAAAGGAAAAGACCAAATTGGTTCTTGTCCCCCAACTAGTGTTTTTTTTGTAAGTTGAGTGGTGAGATTTCTTATCAACTCTTAATCTTCTGTCCCTTTGTTTGTTGTATTTGGGAATGGTTTTGCTCTCTTTTTGATTGTAGGTGGAACCCTCCTCCTAGTTTGGATAAACTCTTTAGCCCTTCTTTTCTGAGGAGCACAAAAAGAAAAGACGGGATTTTATGGAGATGCACAAGGGTAGCGGTAATTTGGATAGTTTGGGAGGAGAGGAACACAAGAATTTGGGGAAAAAGAGAAGAATAAGGAGGCGATAATTGAGATTGTAATATTAAGAGTGGCACACTGGGAGGAGAGTGAAAAATTTTTCAGATTATACAATGGAGGACTTCTTCAAGAATTGGGGGTCAACAACTGACTCTTCCTCTAGGCCACAAAAAATCCTTGACGTTTGGTCACCCCTAGTTGGTGGTTAGATGAAATTGAATTTTGATGGGAGCAATTTGGGCAACGTTGGTCCTTCTGGAATTGGGGGAGTGATAAGAGATGAGGGTGGTACTATATGTGGGTTGTATTCGAAACCAATTGAATAGGGTGATTTAGTTAGGGCAGAACTTATGGATGTTGTTTATGGGATAATAAAAAGCTATAGATATGGGACTCACAAGATTGGTTACTAAGGGGATTCAAAGTTTTTAGGTTAAAGGAAGGTAAGGGGGTGGTTTAGCAATATAGAAATGAATTTTGGACGCCTCAAGTGGTTCTCAAGAAACATGAACATTCAAGTAAGATGGGTAAGAAGATTTGCTAATGGCCTGGCAGATGGTTTATCTAAGCAAGGATTTCATAAACAGCAAATGTATTGGGTTGAATTATAATAGGGTGGGGTGTTATTGCTGCTGTAAAGGGTTTTCAGATTTCACAACCTCTCTTTTTCTTTTCAAGTAATTAACAAAATTTGTGTTGCTGATAAAACATGATGATAGTACAAAAAAAAAAATGAAATCTCATAATGTGCATCAAGTTTCAATCAAGGACAAGGTGTAAGAGCATAGACATGCAACTCAGTACAGACCCCGTTTAATCTATACTGAACCGAAACCCAATTGGCCTAGTCCAATGATCTAGGTTAAAAATAGTTACTCAGCACAAGTTATAACTTATAACAGTAGTGTGAGCTCAGGTCAGTGGCTGGCAGCTAGTCACCCTTGTTGACATGGCCTAGTTACAGAAAGATTCCAGAAATTTCTTTAAAAAAAGAGAAAATATATTATAAATCCATTCCAGCACAAAGGGGGGAACTCTCTCTCTCTCTCTCTCCTCCACTTGATCCCTCTCTGGAGGGTATATAGCGCAGCCCATTCAGGGGTCTAGCCACTTTCTCTCCTCCCTAACCAAAATCAATCATATCTCCTCAGACTTCTTAGATACAAGGACGGGCATCTTCTCAAGTTTAGTTGTATATAATATAAAAAATCCATTACCCAATGTTGATCCCAGCTATTTGAGGTCTTGAAGAGGTGGACTTGATAAGGACCCAAGTATGGCTATATATGATATTTGTTGAGAATGTTTTAGGCAAGGGCTTTTTGGTCTTTTCATGTGTATTTGTATTTGCATGCCCATGTGAGGGCTTTCTTGTAATTTTTTCTCTCTCAATATAAATATCATGTTTAAGAGAGTGAATGGTAACAAACTAACACGTAACAAAACCCTAGATATTGTAACTATTATCACTTAAAAAACATTATATCCATTTTGAGAAAATATTTGAGTTACCATTAATGACAATTAGAAATCAAGAGCAATATTCGTCAAATTACCATGAGAAATCTATAGGTTCGAAAGAAAATGCAACATACAAATGACAGAAGTTCCAAGGTTTTACCATGCATTCTCTTGACAAACCGTTCAAATTCCAAAAAGTTGTCTCTCTCCATGAGATGTGGGCCTAGCCTGAGGTATGTGAATGCTGATAGATGCCTTCCATCTGGATCATTTAATGGTTTGGAATTTTCCAATATTTTGTTGTAGCCTTCTCTATCATGGCAAGGAAGAGCATTCTCACTAGCCACAGGTATGGAAACATCCCATGCAGCATTGAGTACCTGAAAATGGATAGCATTCACAGAATGAAGATTCTTTTGTTCACTAATGATTTTTTTTTTTTTTTTAGATCAATTGTTGACTAATTATTTTGGCAAGGAGCCGTGGCTTCTCATAAAGAAGGAAGAATGAAAAAACAAGAGAAAAAATAGCATTTTTTTTAGACAATGATGTTGATTTTATTTGACAATAGTTGACTGATTTCAGCACGACAAAAAATGGATTTAATTTAGTAAAATAATAGAAAGAAGGTAGGAGGAAGTGAGGAAGTCAAGAGGAAGAATAGAAGAAGAATACGAAAGAAAGACTGGAGAAAAACAGAACAGTTCATGGGGTTCCAACTTCCAAGGAATCCCCACTTCTTTTTATACTTTAAGTATAATTTAAACTGAAATTACAATGATGCCCTTTTAGTATGTGGCCCATTGGGCCCACAAAAGAACTAATAAAGAATTAATAGAACAAATGTAATACATAAAACTAGCCCAGGCCTGTTCGGCCTATCAACAATAATAATAAAAAAGAAAGAAAAAGAAAATAGCATCTTCAGAAATGTACATATAAAAAACAAAGTCCAGAAAAAAGAACACTTTCAATGTTGGGTATAACTATGCATTAATAAGTGTTAGAGCTAGCCAAATAAGGGTAGATTAGTCATTTTATTTCTTTTAAGCTATGTGCTTATGTGGCATTTTAATAGAGACTTTCTGTCCCATACTTAAGTGGGGCAGTTTAGTCTTTATACAACTAGTTAGAGGCTAATCTAAAATATGGTCGACTGATAGGGTTTACCCATCAGAATCGACTGTTCTTCTTCTTCCTCCTCCCTTCTCTCTACTGGTTCGAACTCCTTAGCACAGATGTTAAACATGGTATCAGAGCCATAAACAAAGGAGAAGAAGGCTGCGACTTCAAGGTTTCCATCCTGCGACTTCAAGTTCTTTCTCCCTCTTCTTTTTTCTTCTCTGGGCTGTGAATCTGAGCGCTAGTTGTGTGGTGGTGCTTGCGGTGTTTACCCTCTACTGAACCATTTCAAGAGGGTTTGTGTGTGGTTGCTCGAGTGGTTACATTGCTGTTATGGTGACTACTATTTCTAGGTTGTTAGTAGTGGTGTGAACAGAATTTTTGTGTGGTTGCTTGAGTGTTGTGTTGTTGTAATGATGCCTAATATTTCTGGGGTGTCAGTAGTGGTGTGAACAGAAAGAAAAAAAAAAATTGTGCTGAAAGAAGTGGCTGAATAGCCTTCATCAATGTTCTAATCTGGATGGTAGCCAAATCTGGTTAAAACATCCAGTTCTTAACCTGAATGTTACTCTACATCAAATGTTGATTGTGACTAGTTGTGAGATTGTTATCAGTGTGCTGTAGTGTTGCCTTGACAGCAGTATTTGGTTGGTGTTTGAGA